TCTTTCCCTTGCTGCTGCTTTCAGTCTTGTTTGCTGGTTCCTCCTCCTCTCACTCCCTCTCCTGACCTTTAAACGTGGGAGCATCCTGGTCTTCTGTCCTTGGACTTCTTTTCTTCACCTACACCCAGTCCCCCATCGTGATGGCCATCGTGTCAAGTACCATGGATATGCTCATGGTCTCTACATTTCTAGCTCTACCCTGGACCCCTCCCTTGAACAGCGGACCTGAACATCCAGTGGGTTTCTTGACTTCGCCACGTGCATATTTGAAAGGGACCCCAAATTTATCACATCCAACACTGAGCTCCTGGTGTTTTCCGCAAACCTCCCCTCCATCTCAGTAAAGCTGACCTTATCCTTCTGGGTGCTCAAGTCCACAACCTCGGGGTCCTTTCTGACTCCGGATTTTCTCTCACTGCCCATTCCAATGAAATTCTGAAGACTCTACTTTCAGGATGTCAGAACAGAATTTGACCCATTCTGCCTTCTCCAGTGCCGCCACTCTGAATTCAGCCATGCTCATCTCTCACCTAGATTATTTCAATAGCCTCCTATCTGATCCATCTGCCTCCATCTTCACTCTCTATACTTGATTCTCCAGATGGGGGCCAGAGTAATCGGTTTAGCATAAGAGGCAGGTCATGCCACCCCTCTGCTCAAAACCTGCCAGTAGCTCTGCATTTCACTCAGAGGAAGAGTCTAGGTTCTGACAGGGCCTGCAAGGCCCCACATGAATTGATCCTTCACTACTCCTACCACCCTCTCCTACTACTCTCTCTCTCACGTGCCCCTGTACGCACCCAAGTCATGATGGCCATGCTGGCCTCTTGCTGCTCCTTGAACACTCCAGGTCTGTTCTCACCTCAGGACCTTTGCACATGATATTGCCTGTGCATGGAACTCTTCCTCTAGATATCTGCATGAGTCACAACCTCACCTCCTTTGTGTCTTTGCTCAGATGTCGCATGCTTGTTCAGGCCCTCCGTGACCTCTACCTCTCCTTACTCACCTCTCTTCTCTTGTATTATTTTCTCCGTAGCTCTTACCACCTCTAACAAATTATATAATTTACTTCCTAAAGACACGGAGATTTTGTCTCTTTTGTCCACTGCTGCATCCCTGGTACCTAGAACAGTGCACGGCATAGAGTAGGTACTCAACAAATACAAGTTGGATGAATGAATGCTCTACAGACCCATTTTTGTCCCACAGGCACTTCTCAAGGTTAAAATTTAGAGAGAAGTAGGCAGAAGCCTCTCTTTGGTCTCAGGCCAGAGAGACATTGTGTCTGTCAACATATCCCAAAAGCCTGTATTTTGGGGTTACTGGGACCCTCTGTCCATAAATAAAGCTTCATATCTTCATCAGGCTCCTCATCATTCCTCCCCTTCCCTCCCCTCCCCACCCCCACCAGTTATCAGTTTAAAGATGAAAGGGGAGTAAATAGAGTGATTAGCATCCCTAAATTTCCAACAAGGCCCAGTCACTAACCTGTATGACACTTGCACTGGAAAAGATTTCTGGTGACAACGTTAATTCTAATGTCTATTCCACAAGAGTGGGTATGCGTTGGTAGTTTTGCACTTAGAATTGCCAGGGATTCTAGAACAATAAATAGCATCATCTTTATATGAAGGGTCTAGTGGTGCACCATGATGGTGGCTATGATTATGAAGGGATATTTTGGTTCATTTCTTACAGAGAGTTTTAAAATGTGTGATTTGGATAGGATGATGTACACTTAGCAAGCTGGGAAAACCTGATTAAATGAATGGATACAACCGTAAGAAGGAAAATTCTGCAGGATGAGACAGGAAGAAGAGCCTTGAGGGATGCTTTAACCCCTGAAAAGTGGGTACCAAGGAGCTAAAAGGAAGAGTGGGGTCAGTAGAGCTCCTGTAGTCTAGTCTCATGGTAACCTTCGGGATAAGCTACTATGATACCGTAGGTGATCTGCAGGCTAGACATCACTGGATGGGTCCTTCTCCTTGCCCCACCACCTCCCGTCTGCCAGGGCCCACAGCTGGGAATAGGGACACTGTGTTCCTGGAGCTACAGTCAGAAGGTCAGCTCGTGGGGCTGCCTCGGGAAGTAGAGAGGTAGAAATGGAAAGATGCTAAGTGTTCAGAATTTTATTTAATCCTCCCAACAGCCCTGGGAAGCAAGTACTCTTATTCCCACTGTATAAATGAGGAAACTGAGTCACAGAGAAGGAGATAACTATCCCACGAACACAAAGCGGAGCTGTAAGCATCAGAGCTGGGCTTCTAACCCGGGCTGTCTGACTCTAGAGCTGGTGACCATAAGCATTGTGCCGGACAGCTGCAGAGCCTGACAGCATGCCTGGCACACAGTAACTGCTCGCAGAGGATCAGTTATTAACAAGAGAGTGAAGCCTGATCGTGGAGGGAGTGGGGCAAAGAGAAACATCTATAGCAGCACAAGCCAGGACAGTGACAGCAGCGGGGAGCACCAGAGCTTTTCCAGGAAGCGTGGGAGACCAAGGACACACCATTGAGGGTGAGGAGAGAGCAGAGAAACTAGCTGAAAGAAAACCAAGGAAGGAGAAGGGAATGCGAACATCAACACGTGCTCCTAGGCAGCAGTCTTGGGCAAGGCAGCAGTTGCCGGGGACGGCATCTGCAAAATGCAACGTATGACAGTGCCTGGGCTCTCCACGGAATACCCCACAGGTACTGACCTGTCAAGAACAAGAGGACACGTCTGGGGATGGATGGAGGCAGACCAGGCAAGGAATGTGGGCCAGCTCCTGGCTGGGGATTGCCGTTCCAACAACACACATGGACGTGGTCTTGGAGTTACCAAAGATTTAATTTAGCTGTTTAAATTGTGCCACTGAATTATTCTGAATGAATATCCTCTTATTTGAAGACTTAATTCCTCAGTCTAATAGGAATTGAGAGATTGTTGCGTACTCTTCGAACCATACCCAGGGAAAGGTAAAGTGTAGTGTTTTCATCTTTTGATTAAAATGAGGGGCCCTGAATATAAATCTTTTACACTTATTTACCAGTTCCCCAAACCAATCTTTCAAGGACCCTAAACAGGTAGAGTTGATTTAGAGCAAGTGATTATGTCTGGATGACTGCTGGATCTCAGGCTGGTACAAAGGCAAGGATGTCCATGCTACAAGGCTACCTGCCCCATAAACATCTCCACCAGTTGGTTCCATTGACAACCAGGATAAAGCTGAGAGGAGAGGGGGGACAGATGGACCCAGAAGTCCTGCTCCAGGTGCACACTCACCTTTCAGGGAGCAGAGGGAGAGACTCCACAAATCTCTGAAGACACTGGCTAAATTGTGCATTACCCTGATCTCCAACTGGCAAACTTTACTATACATAAGGATCCCCTAGAGTGCTTATTGAAATAGGAGGATTCTGCCCTCCCCTTTCTGGTTCTTGGTTAGGTTTGGGGTCCAGGAACTCCTATTTCCCATAAGCACTCTTTAAGAAATTCTGGGTTAGACTTTCCTCATGACAATTGGGAGTATTTGAATCTCCATTTTCAATCAAACATTGCTTTGAAAATAACTAGGACTTGGCACACGGAAAGGCAGAGAGGATTCTGCTTATTATTCTCAAGAACATAATCACTTTACTATCCATTGACATCCTTGGCAAAGGAATTTATAAATTATATCCCATGGGATCAATGTGAAAAAAAGAAAAGAAGCTTTTATAATACATACGCACAGTTACCCCTTTTGCATGTAGACAGAACAGCTTTCTCCCCACTCCTGCCCTCCCCGCCGCAGGAAGAGAATTGTGTGTAAGAATGATAAAATAACAACTCTAGCTTTGCTATAGCTGTACACAGAGCTATGTTTTACTGCAGCTGCCAAAGGGTGTGATGGGTTACACCCCAAGTCCCAGCTCTTCCTTTACAAAATGAGATAATCCGGGTCCCATATAATTGGTGGATTGTGGTAAAATCCAAATGCCATCACGTAGAGGAAAGGAATAGCAAACTGGCTTAAAAGAAGGTAGTGTCATAAGATGGTATTGTTTTTCCTTCTCATATTGGTCCTTGAGTCTCCCACTTTAAAATGTAAGTCTTAGGAAAGAGGGACTCTGTTTCTTTGAAGGGAACTCAATGGTTTGAGACCACAAACCATCACAGAATGCCACGAGGGCTGCTTTCTTAATACAGGGGCCACATCCTTTCCGTGAGTTGTTGCACGAACTTGGCTCAAACTTGTAGGTTCTATTGATTAGGAGGGATTTCCAGGCAGAGCCTTTAATTTATGTCTTACGTGGTCAGCTCTGTATCATTGTGCTCTGGCAGGATGCTAATTATCTACAGAAGTCTGAGGAGGCGGGGCTGGTCCAAAGCACTCCGGGTTGGGATTCTGAAGCCCACTGCTAATTTTCCTAAGTGGGCTGGGCCAAAGGTCTTCCCAGCCACACCTTTCCAGGTTAACACCCCATCTTCTCTCAGACGCTGTTTTTCCTTTATGTGTATTTTGTTGCATGTGGAAGAGCAATATGGGAGTAGAAAAAAAGGTTTTGGGCCAAATAATGCAGTATGGTTGGAAATGCTTTCCTTGTGCAGATTTGGCATAAAAATAAACTTCTCTGGGAGAGGGCTGTTGGTGCCTGTTGCTCATTAATATGCTGAAATGATTTCGCACCGCCCCTCCCCCCCATTTTGAAAGTTCCTTGAGGCGGATTTCTATTCATCTTTTTCTGGGAAACAGATAAAATGGGTGGGGGGAGAGGTGTGAGGGGGCAGGATGTGGAACTTATGCAATGTAGAACTTACGAGAAATACTACCGTTTGTGTGGTTCTTAGTTACATAAGGTTGAGGAGCTTGGATGCCTACACTGTGGATTAGTGTCTTTTTAGGAAAAAAACCATTTAGGGAGGACTTTCTTTTCAAGTACCATCAGCTAACTTTGAATTGTAGTTAACAAATGTGGACGTACAGGGCAGGTTTATTTGGACACGGAGACGCAATACCTGCCAAGCCCACACATCACTGGTGAACAAGACACACACACACACACACACACACACACACACACACACACGCACACACACAAAGTCCTTGGTGTACATGTAGGACTTATTTTTCAGGAATTTCTTTTGAACATTCTAGGGTGGAGTACAAATTTGATATGGGCACAGCTACATAGAAGAAAAACGTATTCTGTTTTCATTTTGGTTTTATGAGGATCCCTTGAGTCAAAACAAAGCCCTTGATTGGAATGGCATTTACTCGTCCAGGTGGCTTAGTGTCCAACAGGGAGGAAGTGCCCAGAAGATGCTAGTTGAATGTTCATTTGGGAAGGGGGAGATTTTTATGGGTTCACAGCCTAGCGGGTGGGCGGGTACCTGGCTGGGGGTCCGTGTAATCCACAGTGTAGCCATCCAGTTGGAGAAGTTCCTGAGGCTCTGCTTTTTTCTCCCGGTAACTGCACATGGCAAACGTGTACTGACTCACCTAAAAAAGAAAAGCACAGATCGTGAGGTTGGTTCCCTATAGCCCATTTTCCTTGAAAAAAAAACCCTCCGTGTTCAAGCCTGTCCTTTCCCCTGAGGCCCTGCACTCAGGAGCTGGGATCAAATTGAGTTTTTCCACCTCCTGGCTGTGTGACTTGGAGCAAGTTAAAAGACTTCTCTGGTCCTGTTACCTCATCTGTAGATGGATATAATCTGAGAACCTACCTTCTCACTGGCTTATTGTGCGGATTGAATGAGTTCATAAGTAGAATGCATTTAGAATCTTTCCCGGATGCTTAGGAAGTGCTTGACAAAAGTTAGCTATTATCATTATTGCTGCTATTTTAATTGGGCTAAGCTACATGAAATTGACATTTGAGTAGGTCAAAACTGGTTGCATAGCAGCAATTTTTTAGCTTTTACCTGATATGACTATGGCCCTGGCTCTGGCTGAGATTGTCAAACTCTCAGACTTGACACAGGCCTTTTGGTCAGAAGTTAGGGACTAGACTTTTATTTATTTATGCCCTCCGTTTCTTTTAGCATTTTACTTTTTGCAGGCCAATTCTCAGCACTGAGCCGCAAGTCTCATCCCTCCCTCCCCCTTCCCACTGAAGGAGTGCTTTTGGTCACTTTGAAAAGTCTTCCCTTCATCTCAGACAAGTGCAGGAGTGACATGCTGTCACAAGCAATGAATGCTTGATCTCTAGGTGCCAGTCATGGGAGAGCCATCCTCAGCCCTGGACGGCACGGCTGTTGTCACTGGTGTGGCCCTCATGACCCACACGGGCATCGGCCCACGTCAGTGCTGGGCGCGGGCTCTGCAGCTGCAGGCCAGCCTTCAGGTGCCTGTCGCCTCGGTGCATCCAGACCCAGCGCAGATACTTAGCATTTCTACATCTGGCTTGTCTGCAAGGAGCCCGGGGGAGAGCAAGACTCCTTCAGGCTTCGGGCTAAAAGCTCAGGGGCATATTTACCATCCACGGATGTCAAACATCTTACTGAAGCAGTGCCACATCCCTCATCTCTTAGTTCCCTTTATTAAAACAGACATTTACTAAGTGAACTTTGAAACCGGCGGGGGACATTTTTTATCTCCTTCTCCATGGGTTTGATTTTTTTTTTTTTTTTAATGGTAAGAAATTGGTGCTCTCAAAGCCTGCACACATCTCCCACAGTCCTCAGCCTGAAGGCCCCAGTGGCAAGATAAAGGGAGTCCACGGGAGAAGGTTTTGCTGGTTGATTTATCTATTGCTGCCCTCTGTTGGTTCCTGATGAAAACTTCTGCCCAGCGTGGGTTTCTTGATCACGCATACAGTTTGAAGAATCTGTTCCTTAGACTGCAAGGTCTTGATGGGCTTCAAGGGAAACACAAAGCCACTAAGAGTATGTTCATAAGTGGACATGTATTATGCTTTGTAATAAGCAGAACAACGAATAACATCCTCTTCTAAAAAGGAGGATTTAAGAGTGCAAGCTTTGGGTGGGGTCACATAGGCTCTCAGAAGCTGTCATCCCAGCTCTCAGAAGCTGTCATATATATAACTCAGAGTCTTCATCTGTATTTTACCTGTGTCTTATTGTGGCTGGAGGATTAATAGAGCAGTGAAGGGCTTTTCACACGGTGTGTGACACTCACCTAGCAAATACTCAATTTATGCATTTCCGTAAGCAGTTTCCATGCATTTGGCACTAACATCCTAATACAAAGTAGCTGAGTAGGTGTATTTGCCTACTAGATTATAAATCCTTTGAAGGCATGCCTAGGGAGTCATACACCTTGGTTATATTCCCCTTGCCATGAGCAAAATCTACCATGTAACGGGCGTTCACTAATTGAGTCTGATTGGTTCTAGAAAAATGAGTACGTACCATCCAATAAAGAGGTTTTCCCCCTCCCAAATTTACATGTTTCTCCAGTCCACTACTGATCCCATGGACAACCTATCTCCCACACCCCCTGGCATGATAGTGAACACAGACATTGCTGGAACAGTTCTGCAATGATTTTTTACCTCTCTGGCAACACGGAGATGATATAGTTCGTTAATATGATGATTAGCCAAATAGACGATTGCAGACACTTACTTGAGATCAGAGAAATATCACGACAGAAGGCTGTTATTTCAAGATTCAGGCATTTACTCTTACTACATGCTTGGGGCTTTCTGACTTTTCCTTTTTCTATTTCAGGTCCTTGCTTCTTGGAGCACTGTATGTTGCTGCCCCCTTCTGGGGATACTGTTAAAGTTGTTCCGGGCAAACTTGAGGCTCAAAAAAACTCGAATTGGTTTATTAGGACCATTTTAATCTGGAATTTGGCAACTTACTTTAGGGAAAAAAAGGAGGAGAGAAGAAATGATTTGTTTTTGCATATTTCTAATTACTGCAAGGTTGGAGGGAGCCTCAGACTTTCTAGAGAGCTTGAAGTGTGAGGGAATAGCAAGGGTCTGGGAGCTGCTAAACTGTTTTAAGCCTTGACCTTCCAGAGTGTGCTGCGTGGAGAGAGCTTGCCTGAGCGGGGAAGTCGGCTTGGGGGGAAGTCGGCTTAGATGAAAGCACAGTCAACAGATGGTACAGATAGAGAATGAGTCTTGATGACTGTTTAAGCTCTGGACCGAGCCATGCCAGAAAACTCTAGTTAATTAGTAATTTAATGAACTAACCAATATAATTCTTCCTCTTCTAAAACTTGAGCTAATTCGGGTTGATTGTTGTCATTTACAAACAGAACATAAATGCAAATGCCCTTTAGGGCCATTGTGAAGTTGAGTGGGGAGAATGAACATTCATTCAGTTATAAATCATTCACCTATAAATCATTCATTATATGCCTTACAGTTCACTTTCATAGTTAACTTAATATTGTTTTCTGGGTGACAACTGTTGCATTATAGGGTGTTTTATATTATCAGACAACATCTTATCTCATTCAGATTTAGATTTTTTTGAAAACTGGGGACGGTCAGAATTTGGGTGCATTATATTATCCCTAGGGAATCCGAAACAGGTTATGATTTAGGGACCACATTGTCTCTAACTGATGCAAGGTGTGTGAGTTCTAGGACACTGTATCTAGGACACTGTATCAACTTCTTTGAGCACAGTGCCATCTCAGTGCTTGGTGTCCTGGAAGACATCTGGAATCAGAAGGCCTATGTTAGGTTTCACATAGGCTGCCTATGAGCCATTGACCTTGAGCAAGTCATTTAACCAGCCTCAGCCTCAGTATCCTCCAATGCGAAATAGGGATAAGACGTGTCCTTAGCACAGTACAGAAATCTTTGGGGCACAGAAGAAAAATATTTTAGAATAAAAAGATGATAGAGGTGAGGCTTCCTAACCTGGTCTGGATGACGGGTTGGCTTCCCCCACTCATCTCCTCTCACACCCAAGGCGGGGAGCTCAGGGTGGAGCTTGTGGAATTGGCACCTTCATCATTAACACTGGTTTGGTCGCCGTTCCTAACAACGGTAATCAACATATTTGCTTACCACGGCCCCATGGTTTAGAATGAGTTTACCCAGCAATGTCTTGACTCAGGGTGCCGGGGACCCATTTCTCATTAATCCTTGTGTTAGGGTCTGCAGCCATGTTCATAGGGCATATATACTGGGATTTCAAGGAACACAGCTGAGAGGCTTTGTCATGCCATTTGCACATAATCATCTGTTTAGCTACTCTGATGCTCAGTTTCTTGGAGAACATAAACTCTGAGAGAGTGTGGTCGAAAAGGAATGGGAGACTTCAGTTTAAAAGGGACAATGACCTCCGAGGCAGTGTTTCTCCAAAGGTGGTCACTGGACCCCCTGCATCAGGATCTCCTGGGCTGCTTGTGAAGCGTACAGATTCCTGAGCTCCATCTCAGAGTCTTCTGTGCATCAGACGCTTCTGGATGGTCCTTGGGATCTGCATTCTATTTACTTAGTTATTTTTAGGCTGCGCCCTATGGCATGTGGGATCTTAGCTCCCCGACCAGGGATCAAACCCGTGCCCCCTGTGTTGGGAGCACGGAGTCTTAACCACTGGACCGCCAGGGAAGTCTCTCTGCATTTTAAAAAACACCCAGTGCAGGCAGTCCAGGGCCATACTTGGAGAACACTGTGTAGGAACACTGAAGTCTCTGGCGCAGAAACACCCTGCAATTGCTTCATTCCCTTCAGAGCTGGTAGGGCAGACTCCAGCCACATCCATCATCATTTTAGCCTTGATCCTTAAACATGGGAATTGCTGCTTTGGCTCAACACCCCTCTAAGGGTGGCCTTTGTCCCTGGTTAGTAGGAAGCCCATTTATAACCTATCTTTTGTTCCCCAACGTAGTAGCTCTAAAAGGAAATCTCCCTGAGATAATTTAATAGTTTTGCATTACAGACAGAAATGTAGACTCTCTCTTTCTCTCTCTCTCTGTGTGTGTGTGTGTGTGTGTGTGTGTGTGTGTGTGTGTGTGTGTGTGTGTGTGTGTGTGTGTGTGTGTGTGTGTGGTGAGAGAGAGAGAGAGAGAGACACAGAGAGACAGACAAACAGACAGACAGACAGCCGGGGTGGGAGGGGAGATGAACTTTGAGGACACTGGTGTTGGATGTGTTCTCCTTAGGCTTTTCAAACAATTTTCCTTGTATTAAATCTAACGGAATTCATAATTACGTTGGAAATTATGTGTTACCAGCTCTCTATGAAAAACACTCCATGAGACCCAGCGTCTGAATAGAAAGGCACATTCAGTAAGTCACCTGGGTAGCTATGACTCCTATGTGGTGGCTTCACACGGTCCCACAGAGATCCCTCTGAGGCTGCTGGGGAGTTGGGGGCAGGATGGGGAGAATCTGCTTTCTTCCCCAGCTCCCTCACCCTTCCCCATATTTGACCAGACTGGTTCTCCTGTTTTCACTTTTGCATTTCAGTGAAAGGGTGTGGTGGCTAAAAGAAACCGAATATCATTTGTTCGTAAGACTGGATTCAACATTGCATTCAGCTGCTGGGCGCCTATGGTCACTACTTGAG